CCTCCTCTCCCGGGAGCGTCCAGGGCACTGCCCCCCTCTCAGCATCTTCCTCCCACACGGACATCCGTCCTTTGGCTGAGTGTGCAGTCTGTGGGGACTCACTGGCCGCGGGCGCAGGCTGCCCTTCTGCTCTCACACCTGCAGCCTGGAGGGGCGAGGCGGGCCCAGGATGATTGCCGCAGCCTACGCACCCTCGCCTGGCCGTCTCTGGCACCAGCACGAGTCATCTCACAAATCCACTGTCACCTTCCATTCTTTACAAACCGTCCCGGCCCGGGATAGGGACGAGACCAGGATCCTCCCGGGGGGACAGGGCCATGCGAGCTGCTCCTCCTCGGGCAAGGGCGCGTGAGGAACCCGACCAGGAGCTGGGGACAGGCTCTGCCTGTGACCTTGAGAACGCCCGAGACCTCTCTGAGCCGCACCCCCACCCACGGCCCCTCCCGGCTCCAGTTCTGGAAGAGCCTGGGCCACCATGCAGGCTGTTCTCTCACCTACAACTCTCACAGCACACGCTGCTCACGGGGCTGCAGGCTTGACAGGGACGGAGGGAGGGCAGCCCGGGGCCACGGCAGACGCGCACGCACGAGTGCACACACACTGTGTCAGACACCCTTCACTTCCTACACAGCTGCAATTTTTCATCGGTGAGTATGCCTCTAACAATGACAATTCTTATGTTTTCTTTCAAGCTGGCTTTACCTCAGGAGTCGTCCTCGGTGCCAAAGACGTGACTGCACCCAGCGAGGCCGACCTGCCCGGTGGTGTTCTGTCCGTGGGGCCACGGTCGGCACGACGTAAATTCACAGGCACCTAGGTGTATAAGTCAATAAGACAATGAACTACATTTGTCACCTACCAGGGTGTCAAGACCGTGATGGAGGAAATGGCCCCAGCTGTGGAAGCACAGACCCACGCAGCTCCAGGACAGTGACTGGAACGCGGGCCACCACGGCCTGTGCCCTGCCTAGACTCTCTTCACGACTGTGGAAAAACCCTCCAGAATGCACGTCTAGGATGGTCTCTGAGCCTCAGGCACGAGAGCAGAGGGACAGCCTGCGGCGGGCCTGGTCCCCTGTGGGCGCTGATGGGAGACCTCAACGGTGGTTCTCTTCCAGGCTACACTGAGCCCCAGGGTGTCGGCAAATGAGAGTGGTGGCGGCCTCGCGGCTGTCGAGGGACCAGGAAGGGACCACTGTCCCTGTGTGGGCCAGTCCCCCAGCAAGGAAATTCCTGCCCCAAACGCCAACAGCAGCCAATCAATTCTCTTAGGTTAAACTTCTGGAAGTCACCCCCAAACTGTTGCTAGTGGTCACTTGGGGAGCGATGGGGCCTGCGGCTCTATAACCTCCACTCCGTGTCCTTCCGTGCCGGCCGCATCCTTCCCTTCCTGCTTCCTCCCCCTCCCCCCCACGTGTGGATACTGAATTCGAATTTCTACCACTTGGATTTTTCACCTCGAGCACGTACCAACTTAATCCAAATCAGTGAATGCTGAAGGAAAGAGGGAAGGCTGACTCCCGAGCCGGCTCCTGCCCCAGCCCCCAGGCCGGCTTCCCCAAGACACGTAGGAGCGGGCATCTGGGGTTGGTCAGCACAACACCTCCCCAGGCAGCATCTCCCCTCTACGAGGACCAGAGTAAAACCAGAGAAGCAGGACAGACACTCGCCCCAGGGCGCCTCACGCGCCCACTCATTCTGTGGCGCACCTCCAGGGGAAGGAACGCACTTTTAAAATGAAATATTAGCTACAAACCACCAAAGACTCAGGCTTATTTTCACATCTGCTGGAAACTATGGGGGCTTTTTGAAACAAAGGAATCACGGCATTTTGTCTAGATATCTTTTGTAAAAATACACAAACACTTATTTCTGATCTAGACACAGAAGACGTAAGGTGTGCAGTCAGTGCCAGCGCCACGCTCGCCCGCCCGCACACCCACTCGGCTCGCTGCCTCGCCCTCCGATCTCAGCAAAGACGGCGCTGCTCCTGAGAGACCCAGCCGGCCCGAGCCTGTCTGCTGTCCGCGCCCACAAGCTCCTTGAGTGCAGCCGGCCCCGCCGCTGCCTGTGCAGCACAGGCGCTCCACAGCAGCAGAGCACGGACGCAGGGATGGCCAAATCCCCCCACCTTCCTCCGTTCCCACTCCAAGAAGCAAGGTGGGCAACACATGGGAACCAGGGGCCTGGCTCGTCCGGGGTTCTAACCAAGACAGGACGGGGGACACTCCCAGTCCTCCTGGGAGACCAGACGACATCGGGCCCTTCGACCAAAGACACAGTCCAGCGGATCTGCCTGCGACAGTCATCCGAGCCCAGGTGCCTGCCCATTGGCCCTGCTGCGGTCCCGCTCACCCGTCAGGATGGCCCTCACTGCCCCACCTGCCACCCCTCCCCAGCCCAGCCCACCACCCTCTCCCCCAAGGGGCTGCTCTTGCCTTTAAAACCCGTGCACACCCACCACCCCGTCACCGTCAACCGGCTTGCTCCCGTCCAGCCATTCCCGTGGCTGTGCCCCCTGCACCTCCACAGGAAGCTGCCATTCGCCTCATCCTCTTCACCAAAGTCTGCCTGGCTGACACCTCACTGGTCCCCTAAGTTTGTCCTCCTCTGCTGTGACCCCCAGAGCTAACTCCAGCCCCCTCCAGCCTCCCCAGCCCCCAACAGCCTTCCATGGGACCCCCAGAGCTCTGGCTGACGCCCGTCAACCCCGGGGGCTCGGCTCCCACCTATGCTTACGGGCTTGATCTCACACCTAAGATCAAACTGGAACGCCAGAGCTGACATTAACCACGGCTGCTTCCCCGCCAACCCTGGCTGCCAAAATCATCCTTCCAAACCCAAATGTCACACCCCCACTTAAAAAACTTAAGGCAGCCTGAGGAAAGGCCAAATGCCTGGTGGAACCTGGTTCCAGCCACACCTGGTGTCGCCAGCTCTCAGGACAGGGAAGGCCCCTCAACTCCGCTCGCCCCATGATGGTTCTCAGCCCACACTACCCTGTTATCATCGCTGCGCCCAACCCTCCACAGGGTCACCAACTCACATGATGATGATCCAACACCAGATGCGGGGGAACCACCCCACCATCCAGCCCTGGGGTGGCCTGCAGGAAGTGACCCCGAAGAAGATCGTTCACAAGTCCTTCCCCTGCAACCAGGTGGCAGCAGCCTCGACTGTCTTTACCTCCCAGGCCAACGAGGAATCACAGGGCCTCCCAGCAAGGAGTCGCTCCCTCTCCTCCAGTCAGGTAATAAAAGAGGGCAGATAACTTGCTTCCCTGAAACTCGCACCCCCAGGACTGCAGACTAACAGGCTTGGGGGCCAGCAGCGCCCTCTGAAGGATGCGACTGTGACTGCGCGTGGCCACCTGCCTTGCATCTTGGGAGAAACACACCACAGAACTGGGCACCACCATCAACAAATGCAACGAGAGACGATAAACCACCTCAATCATACACAGATTACGACTCTCCCTTAAAGGACACCACACAGGGTGCAAGTGTGTGTTCACACACACCCTCCACCAAACCAAAGCCAGCGCCTAAGGTGAGGGCCTGCCGGACGGTCGGTGAGAGCGAGGGGCGCCCTCTGGCACCTTCAGAGAACATTAAACCCCCTGAACTGATGGGAAGGCTGACATGGTCACTCGGTCCCCAGATACGGACACATCTTCACCACCTCTGGCTGTGGTTCAGGTAGACGCAGCTCCTCTGAGCTGTATGTACAACCCTGTGCAATAAACAAGCAAATGGCCTCTCTTCGCTAATGTTTACAGAGCAATGCATTCCGAGACACTAAAGGGCGCAGCGGGGTTTCAGGGAATTTAACTGATCTTACCAAGTGTAGTCAAGAACCACATGAGCCATTAAATAGACCCTGTTTTTGCACCTAAAAGCCTATTTGTTGGAACAGATTTAAAAATTCAGTATATTCTCTAGTTTCACGACAAATACAAAGCAAGCTAAGGTAGAATTTTTCACCACATTTCATTAATCACCAAGTTTCATTTTTTGAGACAAAGGGAGCCAAAACAAGTGCTCAGCACTAGGACGGACCCAGGCTGAACTAACTCCCCACACTCTGCACGCAGGGGCTCGGCGGTGGGAATGCGCCCAGCGCCTGACCCAGGCCCCATCCCAGCGACTGAGGGGTCTGTCCTGCAACAAGACAGAGTCCACGTCCAGTCTGAGAGGACTCGAGGCCAGTGTGTCACGGATGCTGACACGATGTCTGTCACCGGGGCTCAGATGCAAACCCAGGTGTGGAAGGAGGCCCACACCCGCGCCAAGCACCAGCTGCCCCGACGGTTCCCCCCGCCCCCCCGCGCCGCCGCACTTGCTCTCGAGACCGACAGCAGACCCCGCCGCCGGCACGGTGTCACTCTCAACCGCAGCGGGAAAACCACAGAACGCGGCGCCAACGGCCGTCTGTGCACGAGGCGGGCATACTTACATCTTTGGCCATGTTACCAGATCCGTGAAATCGATGCTATAACTGTCCACCCTCCAGAGAAGAAAAGTGATTTTTCTGGTAAGAAGGAAGGAAAAACAAGAAATGAGTAAGAACGAGAAAACAAGTTAACACAATATCAACCCTTCCCGCGGCACCCCCACCCCGGCTGCCCCTCCAGGGTGCTGGGCCTTCCGTTCCAACCACAGCCCCGCCTCAGAGCGCCGCTGGCAAAAGCAGCCCGACGCTGGGATTTTAAGTCATCCCGGCGGATGGAGGCACATCCAACACCAGGATGCCCGGCGATGCCCGGGCGCCCCAGCCGCGGCCGTGCTCCCCGGACGCCCACACAAAGGCCCTGCGCCCCCGCCTGGCACACGGCCGGCCCCCAGGACGCAGGGCACCGCTCACCCCGCGCCGGAGGGGACCCG